CCTTCAGGACATTCCAGATGAAATCAACCAAGCCTACATAGGAGACCTTCTCCGTATAAGTGAAGCTTTTGCTGCTCCCCTGGCCAACCTCTTCACTTTCGTGAAGAGTGGACACCCAGCGTGCCCTTTCATCACTCAAAAACAGCTAGCCCTTTACGCAAGCCCCCGTTTCTGGCAGTACGGCCTGCTTGCCTTTATCGCAAGGTGCTGTTCCTTTGATAATCAACACAGGCGCCAGAATACAGGAACAGCTCAAGCAGTGGCTGTGAAGCCACAGAAAACAAAGGAAAAAGATGTCGATGCCCTCACCTTTATGCAAACTGTCATCATGTCCTTTGTTAGGGGAATGGAGTATGGTGAGCAAACGCTACCCACCAATGACCTCTTTGTCTATCTCCCAGTACAGATCCTGCCTGACTTGGTTGTAGCCATGGAGCGGCAGGGCTTCACGCCCGCGCAAGTGAAAGGGGGCTACGGCTACCGACCCAAAGAAGAAGGAGCTGAAGACAACCCTCTGCTCGTTGTGGGGGTGCACACTAAAGAAATTGCTTACGACCGATACCCCCGAATGCCGGATACGTCCTGGGCTGAAAGAGCTTACTCTTGTGGCGCCCTTGACCCGTCTTTGGGACAAGCTATGTCGTTCCCTTCCCTTCTACAGCTGAGGCTGCGCATTGAAGTCCCCTTGTGGAGAGACCTGGCAACTGCCAGACACCCCTCTGCAGACTTGCCTGCAGAAGAGGACTCTGCCTCTGATGCTACCGGGTCAGCTGAGCGATCGCCCAGGTTTGCGCTCCCGGTGCCAGTGGGGACTGCTGAACCACCAGAAGCTGGTACTGAGGAAGCAACTGAGGAAGAGGACATGGCAGCAGAACCCAACTACGCCTTTGCCAAGGGATACGGACGTTTCGGCGTGGGCTATACCAGGCTAGCAACGGCGCTCGGCAATTTTGAGCAAGGGAACATCCAAGCAGAAGGTACAGTAGTAGCTCAGCCTGGCAGAGTTGTCAGCAACTGCAAATTGTCAAGCTCCCACCCTCTGTCGTAAGTCTTGAAGATGGGACCTTCCAGGGGTGCTACGTGCTGAGAGAGGTGGCCGCCCCGGGGTGTGTCCAGTACAGCCGAAAAGTGTTTGCGGAGTGCTGCTCCCTTGGTCGAGTTGGTGTCAGTCACGAAACGGATGACAGTAATGTCCTTGCACCAGGGGCACAGCTAGGCAGATATGCATTTGAGAGTTGCCTCACACTTACATCCATCACCTTTGTCATGGACCACACCAATAAACCTCGAGCGCTGCCTGAAGGCGCATTCTGTGGAGCAGGCATTGAACAGCTCTGTTTGCCAGGTGACTTTCACAATATCGGGCCGCGGGCCTGTGAAAACTGCAAAGGACTTGTGGAGGTCAACCTCATGTGCACAGAAATCACAGCCCTACTCCACTCCACCTTTGCCCACTGTGTAGCTCTAAATTGCATATGGCTTCCACCGCGACTAACGCAAATTGGCAAAGAAGTTTTCCTTAATTGTGTTGTGCTCCAAGAAGTGGTCATCCCGACAGAGCTCAGCGACATAGGCATCCGTGCTTTCTGCGGGTGTGAGCAACTGCAACGGTTTACTCCCCTGGATTGGGGGGATATTGAACAGTGTGTGCAGGCAGAGCACAATGCTTTCTTTATGTGTGACAAATTTGAAAAACCCCTGTGGGTGGAGCTGCTCCCTGCTGAAGGACCCGATTCGGATGCCTTGGACGAAGAGCTATATAACGAATTTTCCTAACATCAGGCCAGTCCATGTGAGGTTCAAGGTGGGTGCCTTAGCATCTGTCTCTAGGAAACATCCCCGGCCCTATGAACAGTCAATGAGCAGAGTCAGAAGCTTTTGGCTCAAACAGTAAATGAAAGTAGTCTGCCACACATGGAGCTCGACGACTCATCCAGGCTTAGCACTCCCCCTGAAAGGGAGCCGGTCATGGACTGCTCCTTGGTACTGACAACGCTCTCGGGGGTGACTATCAAGGTCTCTCTCAGTGTGGCAAAGTTTGATCGATTTGAGGACCTAGAGGACCAGGTTATGGACTATCTGGTCTCAGTTACTGACCTTAAAGTGTTTGGGTGCTCCATCGACTTTCTGCAAACTGCCACGCAGACATACCTAGAGGACCCAATCTGGGACAGGCTACAGCAAAGCACGGCATACACTATTGTCTTCAGGGATAGCAGTGTAATCCTGCCATCGCAGGAGCAACTTGAAGGATGCCCTATCCATCATGTTCCGCTTGCTGTTCATGTCCCCATGAACCCAGAGGAAATCGTCCCGGAAGGGGCTTTTGCAGGAGTTCCGCGTATGCGGCATGTCAGCGTAGAGTCAGGTATCAGGCTCATCGAGGCAGCGGCGTGGCAAAATTGTCGGCAGCTCCGCATTGTCAAATTGCCGGCCACTGTGGTCGGCATTTCCGATAATGCCTTTCGCGACTGCAAACTACTAAACAGTGTCTCGGCTCCTGGTTGCCGGGAATTTGGATACAAAGCCTTTGCGGAATGCTGCTCCTTACAATGGGTGTATGCATCGGACGGGGTTGCAAATAGGTTCAGCGGCGAAGCCAAGCTCGGGCATTATCTCTTTCAAGGGTGCATCAACCTTGCTGAGTTTACCTTGAGTGAGCTTCCATCCCCCCCGAGGGTCAATCCTGCAGGCCGGGACCAGTGAGCTGGCGCCAGGCTGTCTTAGCTCTACGGGAATCACCACACTTGCTCTCACGAAGTATTTTACAGCTATTGGAGCGCATGCGTGTGACAGTTGCCGACTGCTTAAGAGGGTTGACCTCTGCAACACCAACGTTGAAGAAATTCCGGAATTCACCTTTGTGCACTGCACTAGCCTCAGAGAAGTTCTCCTTCCGTCTACTCTCCATACAATTCGAGTTAAAGCCTTTATGAACTGTGCAGCCCTTGTTGAGCTTGCCATCCCGCCCTCACTAAAATATATTGGAAGTAGGGCCTTCTTGGATTGCACTGCCTTTAAGAGGCTCGCCAAGATGCCAGGAAGGCACAAATGGCGAGGAGTCTATGCTGAAGAGAATGCTTTTGCCATTTGTCCAGATATGAGGTGGCCAACCTGGCTGCATATGATCCCGGACATGGGATACACCCCTGGTCTTGGATGAAGACATGCCTCTCTGACCACAGCTAACGCGGTCTCACTGTCACTCATCAAGAGTCTGGGCGCGCGCCTTAGCTCGAGTCCAGAGTAGGCCAGAAGCCACAGTAGGCCAAATTCCACGAGTAGAGCTAGCTTCGGTTGCAAGCATTTCGGCACTGAAGCCTCCGAATAGGGTCGCTCCGTGACAAGGGAGAGCACAGCTCGATGCCCACCCAAACCGATGCTTGCCGGATTGCTGCTTTCTGGAGGCGGGCATTGTCACACTTGCCTTGCCGACAGACTTCAACAGGATAGGCTCCACCGCCTGTGCGAGCCGCCAACAGCTCAAACTGTTGATCCGTCCCAAACTGAGGATCACGGCATAAGAAGCCTTCCTCAAGTGTACCTCGCTACAGGAGGCTTCCACTCCTGCTTTACATGGCGCCATGCGCTTGTGCAGGTAGCACGCAATTGCGAGCGATATGCAAACAAAGAAAAAGCAAAACATGGCGAAGGACATATGCCCTTGACAAATGTGGGTAACTCGACTAGTCCGAATGGCACCGAGGTTTGCCGGCCGATGCCAGTGATCTATGGAGAGAAGACTTTCCAGAACCTGCACCAAAGACCAGCAATGCTTTCGCAGCGGGAATGGTGTATAAGCACACCGCCAGGAAGCTACGGCAAGTGAAAAGTGCAAACACTAAGTAGGGTCGCCAATCTCTTTCGCCATTCGCAATACAGTGAGCCAATAGGAATGAGAGCCTTAGCTCCTCGTTCCCAACAGGCGGGTGGTAGAGAGTGGCAATGGAGGATGCCCAGGGGGAACCTTAGTTCCCTCTGTTGATGTCCGACATTTCCAATTTTGTACAGAGAGGTACAGATACCATGCTAGGATAGGTTCAATGTCTCACCTGTTTCACACGGGCCTTGCACGCAACTGAACAATTTTTGCAATGACGCAGCACTTCTCGAAGTTAGGGGACATCCCTTTTGGCACCTCTGTGTGCCAAAGGGTGCCGAGATGACCTCCCTTCGGGGGGGTGTGCCTTTCGCACCCTTACCTGCAGGCTTTCGTCGTTCGCTATGGCCGCCACTGTCTGAACACTACCTACTACTATGCCTCTTGACTTGTATGTGCAACCAGTTGCATGGGTTGTGCTACAAGAAAGGTATTTTCCACGGCATGATCTACATAGCAACCACTGATCCACTTTGATATGGATATAACCTGCGTTAGAGCATATCAATGCTCGGGACCTGCATCGTGACCATGTTTTTGCCACACCGTGCAGTGGCCGCTGGTCACTGGTAATTGTGATGTGAAGTCCATTTGACGACTTCTTGAAGACTTTGCTAGAGCACAAACCCTCGCTGCCATGCTCTTCGTTCGAGAATTCAGGCCCATCGATAGTCAGTAGTCATCGTTTCACTTGTTTCACCTTAGCACAGAGGAAAGACTACAGGATGGTGGAGACTCGGCCTTTGGGCTGTGGTTGGCGGTTGTTTTTTGTTGTTGGGCTGTCTTTGTCCTTTTCTCCACCATCTGACTGTATTTCCCTTCCTTCAATGATGACCTGGGCACCATGCCCACGCGGCGTCCGTACTCGTGGAAAAAAAGAAATGATGGAGACTGACGTCCCACAACCCACCGCGCGGCCCAAGATGCAAAGGCCACTGGCAGTCAAATCTAAGGTGACCAAACCGGCTGAGCACCAACAAGAGAGGGCATCAGAACAAAACATGATTGATGCAATCCAATCGCGGCTAAACATGCCGCCACGACCTGAGGCAGGGTTGATTAGTATAGCGGCTTCGAGGCCAATAGCCACGGTGGCCGTCAACCCGCAAATGCCGCACCCATGCGATTGAAACCCGCCGCTGGGCGACCGAGTGCGTGCAACCGTTTTGCGACGCGTTGCGACGCGTCGCTCGCTCGGTGGCCGGCCACGTCCGACCATGAGCCGATGGGTTGATTCACTCCGATCAGAGACAAGACCGAGGTCCGATCGGCCCACAAAGATCCGCATGTAAAGAGTTGCACAGAACACGTTTTGGAACCAGCAATGAGTGGTTGTGTAGGATTTTGTCTTTGTTTTGTTTCAACAAAAGGGGGGGGGTGTGCCGTTGTGGCATTCAGCACCTGTGGGTGTGTGGACTTGCGTGCACCGTGTTGGTGGTGTTTGAGAAACTGTTGGATTTCACCGGGGTTGGACATTTTTCTGAAAGAATTCTTCATTGAAGAGCAACAAGCGTCAGCAATGACCATCATTTGACCATATTCTAACAAGGTGCGAAAGTTCGCGTCAGCACACTTGCCAGCGGATCTTTACAAACGAGACCAAAAGCGTTCCGATTCGATCGGGGATGCCTTCTTTCCAAAGCCTCGCAGTGTCGCATGAAGAGGAAATACACTACAGCTACTGCAGCTCTTTCACTCCAGAGGTGTTTGCAGAGATGTTTGCTGTGTGATGGAGCTGTTCCACTGGTTGTCCGGTCGTTCGGCCGATGGGCGCGCGTGACGCCGATGACGCGCTCACCAGGTTGGCCCAATGATTCTCCGGACCGCCGTGAAGGAGGATGAGATTCTCATGAACGGTCAGATCTTGAGAGTGGATGCGGGAACGCATTTCATATTGAACATCCGCGACTTCCACGTGGATGAGGATTCTTTTTGGGTTTAGGGTTTAGAAGCATTTCACTTGTTTGTTCAAATGAGGAAGTTCTTTCAACATCTTGATGCACGGCATGTTCTTTCTTTGCAGGCAGGAAGAACAAGACCTTTTAAGAACCTACTTAGGCGGTGGCATGATTGAATGAGGTCCCCAAGTCTTGGAAGAATGGCCTTACCATCCGTTGAATTCTCAGGTTGTGAAAAGCTGTCCATGGCCCTGACAAGGAGTACTTCCCATCTCCGGCAGATGTAAGTTTGGAGCGCTACAACGACCCCAAACAGGCGGGATTGGTCCTTTTTGACTTCGCCCACCACTGTGCAAGTCATGTGACTGTCATGCCCCGAAACCCGTGGCTCTTGACTTTCTCGACTCTGATCCTTCTTCGGTCCCGACGTCACCTGTTAAGCCGGCGAGCGATCGAACCGGACGTGCGGTGTCACCGCAGAAGCAGTACTTCCAGCCCTTCGGGAGCGGCCCCAAGAGTTGTGTGGGGCAGCACTTTGCGATGCTGGAGATGAAGGCCATTCTTTTTCAGGTGGGAGAAGCAGTTTTGCGAAGCAATGCGACACATCTCGTTGATCAGAGAGTTTGGGGTGGGCCAAAGCAATTTGTTTGGAGTCAGGATGTTTGGATGCGCCACGCGTATTTTTCAGCGAGTAGATCTTCTCTTCAGTTCGGCATCCACTTATTTTCTTCTTCAGGTCTTGCAGAACTTGGACTTCAGGACGAAGTCCGACTTGTTCACACTGGAAACCCGGTGGGACATCGCAAACCACCCGGTGAAGCCGGACCGCTTTCAAGTGCGTCGCCGCACGGAAGGTGATCCTTCTTGATTGAAACAAGGAACCCCATGTACCATGGACATCCACCTGGAATTTATGAATTCCATGTTCATCTCGGCCTGTTTCGTTGGGGTTACCCTCCCTTTCATGTTTCACACGCATTTAGAGAAATTGCTGTCTTGCAAGGGAGCTTCAAAGGCCTTTCTTGCTGACGGCCGTTCTTTGAGACAGGTTCTTCTTGAAAGCAATTGAATGCTGCACGGGGCAACAGCCCCCAAGCAGCATTTGCAAAAACACTTGCATTCTTTTTGAATGAATTAAAACACTGCGCTGCTGTGCCTCGTAGAAGTAGTTTGGCATGCTGTTCTGCCAGACCAGGGAGGTATTTGAATGCAATATGCCTTGCTTTTTGTTTCGGTTCTCTCATCGTTGAGCCGCGATTGGAACAAGGTGAAAGCAACACTTCTTGGACATGTGCATGCTGCATACGCGTATTCTTTTGGTGCGGATTCTCCTTCGGAAGGGCGCAGGTTGTTGCCAGGCCGAGTGCCACGAATTTCGTGAGATCTACGTGTCCGCCGTGGTTTGTCCGCAGCACGCTGCACGGATGTGTTGCAAACGGATAACGTATCTGTCATACCAGGTGCAAAGCAGATACCCACAGTATCCTAGGGCGAAGGCTAGGCTGTAGATGCACACGTAGACAGCTTTTTCTAACTTCAGACTGTTGTTGTCATGCTTCTTCTCTCTCGACGGTGCTGTTAAAGCCCAGCACAACAGCATCAAACACCTACGCATTTGGTATGATCACCGGGATCGCCAGAACATCCGATCCTTCTCACTCTTTGTGGCCGCTGGGCTCCAGAGAACCGACGGATCGGTCTTTCAACATGGCGAGCGCTCGTGAAGACTCAAGGCAAGATTCGATGCAGGACCGTCGGTTTTTGTTCTTCGCTCTTTTGACACACCATGACCAGAGGGCCAGTCGCAAACATCCAACGGAGGGCCAGTCGCCAACATTCCAAGCATTGATGGTTTTGGGGAATGGACAACAACACGTAACGAGTGATGAGACACATTCTCCCAGAGGAGAACGCAGTGACGGCTCAGACAGTGCTCCTCCAAGCACAAAAGGCCAAAGAGCTTGTGGCCAAGCAAAGCCCTTAGATGGCCTGAGACCGCTGTGGCATAGCAGTTCGATGAACGTCCGACGGCATTTCCCAATGGCCTGAAGCTTTGGAGTGCCTGTTTTTCGGTCTGTGGCTGTGATGGCGCTGGGTGGAGTCGGTGTTGCCAAGGTTGGAGCAAAGCCGTGAAGGTGTCTTGCGCAGAGAGGACCCGACTGGGGGGGGGACTGCAAAGCTTTGGGTAAGTTTACCAATGTTAATGCAGATTACCCAATGCACATGTTTAACCGATGCGTTTACCCAATGTTTGAGAGATGCCTAAGAGATGCCTCGCTCGGTGTGCTTCGCACAGGAGCGAGGACTTCAAACGGTTCCGCGACCCTTGGGCCAAAGAGCTGCCAGGCTCGCGTGTCCGCGTGGAAACCTGTCCGGCTCCGCCGCCGCGGACCAAAGCGAAGAAACAAACACAAACAAATGCCATACACACAGGATGTCTGCCTGTCATACGGTCATACACACCCCACCCAAACGCACACTGCGCTGCACCGGGACGAGACGGTGTCCAGGGACGACGGGACCTTCCGCGTGCAGCGCGAGCTGCTGCTCTCCCAGCTCCGGAGCGACTCGGAAGACTCGGAAGGCTTCACCGTGGAGAGCAGTGAGGCCAGGTTTTGTGCGTGACATGTTTTATCCCTTCAATTTGTGTTCAGTTTATTTTGAAGATGATGATGATGATGATGATGATGATGATGATGATAATGATAATGATGATGATGATGATGATGATGGATGCTCGATGCTCGATGATCGATGATCGATGATGGATGAATGTTACATATGTTACTGTATATGATTGCAATGATTACTGCTACTACCACCACTATGTGTTGGTCTTTCAATATCGCTATGTAAGTGATGGTAATAAATATGCTTTTGATCATCTCTGATTCGGGGTGGAACGAAACAAACGTGCTTTTCTGTGGACCACGGGGGACAACGAGTCGCCGGTTCCGATCGGTCCGCCAGGAGAGCGATCGCAGCTTGGACCGTCGGATCCATGAGGAGGTCATCGATGAGCTGTGCTGGGCCTCACCAGATCTGGAGCTCAAGGCCAGGGCGGAGAGCACGTGGCACGTGAGGAACTGAGCCGATTCGCTGCGAGGAAGCGAAAAGCCTGTTTGAAAGGCACGTGAACTGGAAGTCCCCGGAGGGAGGAGGAGTGGAGGGAGGAGGAGAGGAGGAGTGGAGTGTACCGAAAAAGAGAAGGACGGGCGCACCAGAAATCACGACAACGAGCACAGGCGAAGTAAGCCTCTCCAGTGGACGACGTCTGAAAGAAAGGAATCCCCAAACACCTGGAGACCAGTGCCCCACGAGTTCAGCGCAGAAGAAGGCTTCACCATGTGGATCCAATCAGACAGTCCCGAAGTCGTCCGTTTGCCGAATGCAGAGAATTCGCTGGTCACACTGTCCGTTCTCCACAAAAAGATGAGTCAGGTCGGAATCGATGCACAAGCAGTGGACTACCAGGGTGGGTGGAAGGAAACTGGATTCTGAAGGTAGTTTGGCAGCGAAATGTGTGTTCCTCATGATGTAGATGCAGGTCATGCAGAGAAACCGGAGACCAGGTCACCCCATTGGTTTGAAAAGCGCAACGGTTCCCGCGTGAAAGGCCCGCTTCGAGGAGGGCTGCTCCCTACAAGATGCTTTGAATGCAGGGGAGTGTAGAGAGGTGCATGGAGGTGGTGATTTTCAACAATCTGTAAAGGTTGCTGGGCAGTCCGTCTAAAGGTTCCCGTTGCACCCAAGAGAGTTTCAGGATGCTTGGCATGTGAGACCCTTCCAGTCTAGCTTGGGACTGGGCTGTTGGTCAAGCAGTTGTTCACAATTTAAATGCAGAGATCTGGAGATGCAGCCTGAACCTATATGCTTCATCTTCTTGTCTTCGATCCCAAAAGAGCTTTCCACCGGTCCGCTTCCAAAGAAGCTTCAACGACGCCTCTGGCGGACGGTGTCGGTTTCGTCCTAAGGAGGCACGGGCCTTCTGCCGCATGTGCTTGTGTCATGCGGACCGGCTTCAACAAGCGCACGCCCGACGGCGGGGCGAAGAGCCTCCAGAGGCGAGCTCGGAACCGAGAGACGGACGGGCCAGTTCTGGGAGCTCCGCAGCATTCGTTGTCCTTCTTGGTGCAACGAATTAGGTGTGTTGGGGCCAGGGGACTATAGGTCAGGTCATATACCCATACCCCTTATAACTAGGTCAGGTCATCCAAGAAGGATCTTTGACACCGGAAACCTCCCCGCACAGTCCGGGGCCACTGGTGCGCCAGGTCCAAAGCCCTTCGGTGCTGGTGCGGCAAATCGCCAGTCATCGAGAGGCCCGAGGCTTTGCACTCCTCTGCCTTCAGGCCAGTCTTCGCGGCTTGAGACCCAAAAAGCGACTAGTAGCTTCTTGCTCCTACAACCTACTTGTGATGGCCTCCACCGAGCATCGCGTCCTTGCTACTAGTAGCTTCCTTGTTATTCTACTACGTTTCTTTGATGCCCTGCAAGATCCTCGCCTTTCACAATGTCTCAAGGCAGTAACTAGATACAACATTTGGTTTCGCAAAACATCATCACGCAAGCATTCATGAAAGAGCGTGTCTCGAAGGTGTTCGGTTTTCACCGATTGTTGTACTGGAAGGTTTGTAATTGATCTCGAAATGGGAAAGGCGGGGAGTTCACAGCGTATCTCCTGATTTGCACCGATGGAGGCGATTGAAGACTATGAATCCCTTGGCGATGGCGTGGGTGAAACAGAACCATCTTAAGGCCTTGGTCGTTTGGCCGTTCACATGGGTCGCTGACGTTTCAGTCACCACGACCGGTCACTCTTGGAGACCTGCTGGTAGACTCTGGTAGACTTGCAGCGACGAGTGACCTGTGTTTTCAGATCTCAATGTTGAAGAAAAGTCCATTGAGAATTATTTGAGAATTGAGAAGCTTCAGACACCCAGAAATTCAGTTTCTGGATTTGAGTACTGTAGCTTCTGTTCCTGAGTAACATTCTTTGTTTTCCGCTATAGTCGATTTATTTGTCGTTCCTGAAGCTTGCGAACACATTTTGGAAAATTCTCTGCTCTTCGTTTTCAACGATTCAAAAAGAAAGCCTGCCGCGGTCACAAGCATCTGCAGGGCACAATGGCAAGCAATCTCTAGTGCCACAATGGAAGCCAGTGATTCATGGGTCAGACATCGATCTGTGCCGAGTTCCTATTGCTCCTGAGTCAATTTGCTTTTTGGTTGTGCGCAAAGCTTGTGCTTGTTGCGGTGATGTTCTCTTTTTTTGTGTGGAGAGTGGACGGCCCACATGGTTGTGGTGGGTGTTTGTGGAGAGCTGTTTCCCTGCTTCTGTGGCCAGATTTTGCAGCATCGTCTCACGTAGCAGATTCCTGTCAAAGGCAGGAGAGGTCGTGCCATGAGATTGATCGGAAGCCATCCTTCACAAAATGGATTGGTTCGATGACCTGATCTCAAACCGGATGGAGCACCGTTTCAATCTTCATGCATGTGATTCAGTGCAAGTTGAATGAAAAAGGGCCTGTTTGCGCAACTTCTCAGTGAGCTGTTTCAGCGGCACCAAGCCAGTAAGGCTAGTAAGGCCATATAGTTCTTACTTCACATTTGCTTGAATCAAACTAATGCATTGGAAGCATGAAGTCTGAATGAAGTGAAGCTGTCACAACTCACAACACGCCTCTGAGAGCTTCTTCCACCGATTTTGCTGCTTCACCAAGCTTGAGGTATGGCAACGGAAACACACCTCTGATGGCGACCAAAGCTTCTCCAAGCTTCTGCTTACAACGTCTTCGTTTTTCATGGCTGTTCTCCGCCCATTCTGCTCGTTCTCCGCCGACACCGGGTCGAATCTCCAAAAGAGTGTTGCTCGGGCCAAGTTTGGTATGGACTCAGCGATGGCGCAAGGCCTGCTCCGCTTGTTCTCCTTTTCGGGAAGCAATGCGAGGCGTATCGGAAAGGTTTTCCGGTGCTGTTGATCGTCCCCAAAAAGGAAGGACAGGGTTTCCAAGGCATTAGCACCGTGGGGATCTACTTCTCTCTCTAAGAACTGCAGGTCCAGAACCGTTCTACTTCCGTGCTTGGAATCGGACGAAGAACGGATCGGTCGTGGGTCATGAGATCTTGATCGCTGGAGGCCCTGCTGCCAACAGGAGAAGAACAAGACGTGGGTCCGGATTTGGGGCGCGTCCACGGGATTCTCTGTGCCTTGAAAAGAAGAAACTGACTGCAAGTTATGAACACTTTTCTATTTGGCTCTCTTCCTGTGGCAATCTGAGTGATGTTGATCATGTCACCTTGTCTCCAAGAATCTCTCCTGAACCATGTTAAGCCAGCAGAGTCCAATGTACCGTGCTAGCATATGAACCTTGCAATAGCGGAGATACTGACATACCAACATACCGTATGACAAGATTCAGACTCTTGTTGCGCAAGACAGCCAGGTGGTCACCTTTGACGAACATTCCTTTCCAAATGATGACGCTTTTCTGATGCTTTCTTTGTTTTTTCAGCGTCCAAAAGTGAATTCGGAGTGTTCGGCTCATGATGAAATGATGCACATGGCACACACACAAAAGCAGTAAATATATATAAATATATATAAATATATATGTGCAGCAGGATGCCGCCTCCACCCACAGCGCCGAAGCCTCCAGCGCAGCGCCCAGCCTGCTCTGGCCGGAAGCTACGGGAGGTCCGAAGCTTTTGACGAGGTTTTGATCCGAATGGTTGGTCACACTGAGCGTCTCAAGCATGTTGAAGTCTGCGAGGCGTTTCACCCAGACAGGGTGACCTTTGATTGCTTTCAGAGGAAGGTGATTGTTCAGTTCATTGCCAGGTAACCTGTGTGACCTTCGAAACAGGCCAAGGCAGACGAGGGAAGAGATGAGTTAGATGACAGATGTCAGAGTGCATGAGAGGTCCTAAGCCATCCGTCCTCAGTCTCTAAGCCTCACGAGAGTTCCCTTTTCCCGAATGCGTAACGAAGGGTTCTCGTTCAACTTTCGGGGTCTGGGGGTAGAGTCTTTTTCGCGACATGCCGTCGTAGCGTTTGCAACCGCTGGTAACCGTTCACAGTAGGTCGCTATGGCGCTGACGGGGGAGAAGCTTTTGGAGGAGGTTTTGGATGCAAGCATGACGCGTCAGATTCGTGTGAAATAGCGTGGAGACGTATGGAAACACATGTTGAAGTGTGAAGGGTGATTTTGCTGAGCACGCGCCGCGTTTTGTAAAATCTTCAGTTTCCTTCGCTGTAACAGTGGGATTGGCGTTTGCAGGGTGGTATGTTGGAGGTGATGTCGCTGTGACAGTGGGATTTGCGTGTCAGGCTGTTGCTTCGAAGCTGATTTCCGTGATTAGTTTCAGCAAAAACTGCGACTTTGGTGGATCTGAGTGTGCTCAGAAAGTGTCCAAATCACCTCACGCGTGTGGTGTGGTGCAAAGCTGAAGACATGAAGATGTCATGTCGGCACTCTTCGTGTCAGGCGCAGGGAACTGTGTGGTTGCAACGTTTGGCGGGGGTGAAGTCGCTGTGACAGTGGGATTGGTGTGTCAGAGGGTGTGGCCTTGAGGGGCTGGCGTTGCGAAACGCCAAGCAGGGCGGCTGCCTTTTCGGTCTGATCAGACCTCCCGTTGCAGGAGGTCTCGTACGAAGCGCTCGTTTTGGAGACTCGACGCGTGACTTTTGGACAAAATCTCGTACGGAGCGCTCGTTTTGGAGACTTGCGCGTGGAGGATATCTCATGCGAAGCGCTTGTTTTGGAGACTTGACGCGTGAGTTTTGGAGGAAGCAAGAGTGCCCCACAAGAGTGTCCCACATGAGGGCCCTACAAGAATACCCCACAAAAATATCCTACAAAAATGACTACACAAGACTATCACACAAGAATATCCTACAAGAATGCCCCACAAGAGTGTCTTAGAAGAGTGTCCAGCAAGAGTGTCAAACAATGTTTGGCTGTTTGTTTTCGAGTGCGTGTGTGCATTCGGGTTCGTGGGCTACATCTTGTTTCTTAACCCAGACCATCTTGTGGCCGTGAGAGGCTTTTCCTTTTGTCGCCCGACGGGTTTTTGCAGTCGCTTATGTATAGGTTTGTATGCACATATACCTGCAGCCCCTTAGAGCTCTGCCCGCTTGCATGGTAGCGGAGCCGGACCCAGGGCATCCGGCTCCAGACCCCCTGTCAGCCTCGGTAAGGCCTTTCCCAAGGCGCGAGCGTGGGTGGCATTCGGCTTAAGTCCCCGTCGACATAGGGGCGGCAAGCATCGGCATGGACGGCGCGGCCCCTTCGACTCCACCTCAGGCCTTTGCACTACATCCTGGAACCCCTCGACGGCAAGATGGACTTCAGGCCATTCCAGGACCAGGCCATTCAGCTGGAGGTGCTGATAGACACAAGGGCGATTGGGAAACTTCGGTCGTTCTCGGGCAAGGAAGAGGATTGGCCATCCTGGGCATTCGTGGCCAGGGGGTACCTGAACCTGCTGGATCCTGGCTACCAAGCTTTGATTTCAGCATCAGAGCAGGTGCAGCGCTACAGCGACATCGTCCTGGCGGAGCTCGGGCAGAATGGTCAAGAGAAGGCCGTGGTGCTCTTCAACCTGTTGACCCAGAGTGTAGAGGGTCGAGCGTTGCAGATTATGATGAATGTGGAGAGTGGAAATGGTTTCCAAGCATGGAAGGCCCTGCGCGAGAACTACGAGCCAGATGTTGGAGGCAGGCACACTGCCATGCTGTCCGGCATCATCGCACCATCCTGGAGAACATCAAGGAGAATGATTGGAGAGCTGGGAGGTGCAGATCCGGCGCTACGAGGTCCAGAGCCGTGAACAGATCTCCGACTCCATGCAGATTGCCGTATTGATGAAGAATGCTTTGAGGACGGCCGGAAGTCAGATTGGCACCAACTACGAGCGGGGCAAGAAGTTCGTGCGTGACTTCCTCCTGACAGGCCATTTCTACACCACCAAGGGTGAAGTCAAAGATGATGGAGGCCCGCAGGCTATGGATGTTGGCGCTGTGGAGTCCAAGGGCAAGAAAGGTTGCAAACAGGGCAAAGACAAAGGAGTCAACAAGGGCGGCAAGTATGACAAGAGCAAGGGCAAGCCACAGACGAAGAAGTTCAATGGTGAGTGCTCCTACTGCTACAAATGGGGGCACAAGAAAGCAGACTGCCGACTCCTGAGCGCCAATGCTGTGAGTTCATCACCATCAAACGCACAACCCAGCAGTCCACAGTCTGCCACTGCTGCTGGAAGCATTAATGCCGTGTTCTTCCGAATGGACACAGGTCAAGGCCGTGAATCTTGGGCCGACATCATGGAGAACTTTTGCATCGAGGAGGACTATGATGAGGACAAGTGGGTGATGATGATTGAGCGTCACCATGGACGCACTGGCAAGGGCGTCGACACTTGGCACCTTGCAGGACAATACCAACTCCGTGAGCGTGAGAAGTTTGTGCTTTGGGATTCAGGCAGCGACGAACACCTCTGTCGACCAAGCTTTGGGGGTGACAAGTACACTGCTTCTTCATCAGCCCAGCTGCTGGGCATCTCAGGACAAAGCCTCGGCGAGCTCAAGTTGAAGAGGGTGAACTACAAGATCGTGGGCGAGAATGGCAACAAGCTGAATGTGGTGACCGACTTCAAGGTCAGTGAGATGGCAAGCAAAGATGTTTTGAGCGCAGGTAAGATGAGCAGGAATGGTTTCGTGGCTGACATGCGCAACAAGTTCAAGCCCTTCCTGACCCATCCAGATTTGGAGTTCAGGATTCCGCTCTACTTGTACTGCAACTCCTACTACATCCTCATTGAGAATGATGAGGCCATCCCCATGAACTACATCAGCAAGGCGACAGTTGCGCCTGTGGTGGAGCAGGGTGCTCAGTATGATTGGGAGTATGCTGGCGTCAGCGAGGAGGAAGAGGCCATGGAGGCCGTCCCATTGCCAGAAGAGCTCATGAGAGATGAAGCCCATGCTCGAGCTGATCGTCCCCGACTACATGGTTGGAGCAAAGTGGCCGACATGAATCTGGGACACGCCTCAAGAAGGCTGAAGCAGCCCTCCATGCGAGAAGAGCGAAAGCCCGGGACTATGTGGAGAGGCAAAGTGCAAGACAGCAAGCTCTTCGTGAAGGACGAGAACCAGATGTGGCATTTGTCCCCGTGCCTCAGATGCCTGAGTCAGAGGAGGTGGAAAGACATCTGGCAACTCACATGCCACCAGCCCCACGGTGCGAATTCTGTGTGAGGGGACTACTGAAGAGAAGCTGGCGGAGAACCACTTTGAGCTGGACTACAGTTTCATCAAGACCAACACCGACCTGACGGACCGCTTTGAGGAACGCTCGGACACTGTCCTATCGATTGTTGACTCCGGCACTGGCGTGGCACTGGCGCTGTCCATCCCAAGAAGAACCTGGAGATGCCCTATGTCATCAAGACCCTGACATCCTTCATTGCCCTACACGGATGTGAAACTTAGAAGTGACAACGAGCCCATCATCAAGAAGATTGTGAACAAGATTGCAGCAGCTTTGCGAGAGGGGAAAGCGCCTGGAGCATCGGGACTTCGTATCCGCTTTGAGGAGGCTCCCAGGTATTCATCACAGAGCCTGGGCCACATGGGCGCATTTCAGAAGCTGCTGAGAGGAGATGTTTTGACTCAGAGGTACGCCATTGAGGCTGAGTATGGCATGACTTTGCGTGCATCACACAACCTATGGCCCTGGTTTGCTGGTGTTCATTTCTGAGAAGTCGCTTCGTTGTGAAGGCCAACCAGTGCACTGCCTACCAGGACTTGACTGTGCATATAGCTCACCGTTGCTACCATTTGGTGAGACTGTGCTCTTCAAGATCCCAGTGAGCAAGTCAAGACGAGCGCACCATCGCAATGTGATCCCAAAGGGTGACACCACTTGGAGGAAAGGCATTTTCGTTGGGCGCAGCGTGACAAGCAATGAGTACCTCCTGGGGACTGAAGAAGGGACCATCTCAGCTCGATCGGTGAGAAGATTTGCAGACAGCTCAAAGCGCTATGACCGAGAGCTGATGGCCAACGTGATCGGAGTGCCTTGGGGCCAAGGAACCACCATTGGTCGACCGAAGCGAAAGGCAGACGCCTTGGCGCGTGCTACTGCCCGTGGAGAGTGAGAAGGAGGCCATCCCGGCAACACCAACTGCTGTTGGCAAGCCATTGGAGACCGTCGAAGAGGAGACTGAGCTGCAGCCCATGGCTGAGGAGACGACGACCTCAGCTGGATCTGGCATTGCAAGACCATGGCACACTGCAAGCGGAGGTGACACCTCAGAGCCACTGGATGAGAGCATTTCAGCAAGACGTGCTTGGACTGGCGACGACGTTGGAGAGAGTCCAGAGAAGAAGGCGCACGGAGGCATCTACGTTGGCGCACTCTATGCCCCCACCGAGGACATTATGGTCGGTGAGGAGGATGTGGAGATGACTCAGTATGACTCCGACGGCGAGGAGAACAAGCCCATGACCATTGAGGAGATTGCCGAGGGTGACGAGGCCGAGTTTGACAAGATGGACAAGTATGAGACCTACGACCCAGTGGAGAGACAGTCTGGCATGAGGGTGCTTGATGCTACCTGGGTGAGGCGGCGCAAACCTGATGGCTCCATCCGGTGCAGATACTGCGTTCGAGAGTTCAAGCGTGGTGACCCACGAACAGATGTGTTCGCAGTGGCCTCAAGCACTTCGACCTCCAGAGTGATCGATGTGATTGGAGTGAAGATGGGCTATGGCTTTATGACTGCAGACGCTGAGAACGCATTCTGGCAGGTCCCCATCTCTGAGGAGGCCTACATGGAAGCGCCAAAAGAATGGATTGCACGGCAGGAGGCACGTGGCGTCGAGATCCCCAACAATGTGGTTTGGAGGCTAAAGAAAGAGTGGTATGGGCGCCGCATTGCTGGTCAGAAGTTTGTTGAGTGGACAGCTGGACACCTGGGTAAGGTTGGCTTTGGACGCAACCCTGCAGCGCCGTGGCTGTTCTACAATTCAGCAAGTGGCGTGGTCATTGAGGTTCATGACGGCTTTGAAAGATTTGGAGATGCAACTCCATGAACGCATCAAGATGAAGAGTCAGATCCATCCCATGGTTCCTGGTAAAAAGTTCACACACCTCAAGAGGACGAGGCGCATCCTGGAAGACGGCATCTTTCTGACGCCGCGAGCCAAGTATATCAACGACCTGCTGCATATGTTGGGCCTTGAAGATTGCAACCCTGCACCAACTCCCTAGATGCACACCGAGATCAAGGAGGGCAAGAAGCTGTGTGGGGCAAGTGTGAAGCTCTTTCGAGCTGGTGTGGGTGTGGCGCTCTACCTGTCCTACGACAGGACGGACATACAGTTCGCCGTGAGAGAAATGAGCCGTGACATGAAGGAGCCCTACGACGGCAGCATGGCAAAGCTACATCGACTGGCGAGGTACTTGCAGGGCACCAAAGATTACGGAGTGTGGCTCCCAAAGGAGGGCGAGATCGACAAGCTGGTGATCCACTCCGACACGGACTGGGCAAACTGCAAGAAGACGAGGAAGAGTTGCGCCTGTGCAACTTTCAGTGTGGGGAATTGCCTGCTGTTCAGCTATTCCTGCAGCCTGCAGATGCTATGCCTCAGCAGTGGAGAGGCAGAGTTCAACGGTGGCGTTGCAGCATGTTCAGAGGGCCTTTTCATGAAGGAGGTTTTGGCCTTTGCTGGCTTCCCCGTGGACATGGAGTCTTTCAGAGACAAGGTGTTGGACGCATTCGGCACCTTGAGGTCAAGAGCCTATGGGTTCAGGAAGCCCTCAGCGGAAGCTCTTTAGCCTGCATGCTGTGAACGCGCAGGACAACCTGGCCGACTTTGGCAGCAAGGGCCTGGCTGTGAAGCGATTCAATGAGCTTCGCGAGAAGTTGGGCATTGGCAACTACATGACTGAGGATCGCCTCGGCACGATTCAGGAGAAGGAGGATGGACAGAGTGTGAATGCTGTGTCCCTGCAGCATGTGAGCAAGCACGCCCTGATGGTGGCGATGATGGCATTGCTGCAAGGTGCAGCTGGGATTGAGGTTGAGCCCAATGAGGGCAGCAGGAGCTCGAGGATGAGCATTGCTGGTGGAGCCCTGGCCGATTGGGTGTTCACCGACCTGAGCATTGCCTTCGGCATCATCCTGGTGATCCAGAGCCTGATGCTGTGGATGTTCTTCAGGTGCTTGACGAAGCACTTCATGGTTTCCGGGGGCTTGAGCCTGGGTTTGAAGCGAGCCTGCATGAAGGAGCAGGCGATTCAGTGCAACCTGAAGTTGCCTCCTTACGAGGAGACCTTTTACTTGGAGGGCCGAGATGTGCACCATACAGACAGCACATGCTCGAAGCTGAATTTCAGGACGAGGCCGTTCACCACCCTTCGCAGATGCAAATGCTGCGATTGGCCACGTCCATGGGGCGACTAGTGGACCACTCCGCTGAGCAAAGTGCTCCATGTGGGGTGCAGTCGCTTATGTATAGGTTTGTATGCACATATACCTGCAGCCCCTTAGAGCTCGAAAAGCGCAGGCTTGCAGTTTTCCCAAGTGATCTGTGCAGGGTTTTGCTTTCCAGGCCCTACCTTGGAGGACCTTAGCTGGAATCACAAGCGACGGCAACAAGCCAGGGAGAGGCGCGTGCAACAATCGTTGGAAGCTCCGTTTTTTGCCAAAAGCCGAACACGTCCAAAATCACCAGGTTGCACGGACCTGCTTTGGCCTTTTCAAGACAGTCCTCAGAAGGCGGAGAAGATGTGGAGATGCTTCTTGCGATCGGAGTTGAACGGATGAATGCACCGGTATTGGTCTTGATCCAAGCAGGCAATTCCATCCGACATGGTAATGTCAAGTCAGGGTTCTTGAGGTCCACCATCGCCTGGGAAGGGAAGTCCTCAGGACAAGAAGTACTAAGTAGTTAGTTGAAACTCCTCCCATTCTGCAAGACTCTCTGCAATTCCTCTCCCAAAACCTCGGCCTTTACGCCCGAGACTCCAACTTCATGGCGGACTTGGAGTTCCTCTTCGCAGGACCGGGCCGAGGGAGAGGGCGGAGCGGCGCGCCGAGCCCGCGGTGGGATCCGGGCGGTTTTGGCATGTGGTGGTGGTGAAAATGGACGTACATGCGCCTTTCATGCGATCCAGAGCTGCGCTTGGGAAAAGGGAAAGCAAGGAAAACCGCGGGTTTGCTGAGTGAAGCTTTCAATTCCAGCCAAAGCTTAGTCTCCGAATCTAGGTGGATCCAATTGGAACTGCAGATCACCAAGCTGTTTCACCTGCAGGAGCTGGTGGGTCCAGTTCATCAGACTGAGAAGAACCTCTGCCCTTCTACAGGATGGTCATCGGATGGTTGTTTGCATTGCAGACATTTATGTAGAGTACTCTGAGTACTCTCTGTTTGAAGAAAGGCTAGAAAAGCAAACATTGGGTGCATCGGTCAAGGCGTGCCATGGTCGACCAGGCTAAGGTCATGGTCTTAGGTTCTGGTGGAAGTTGGTTGAGATCAAGGGATGGCCTGACGACCAGACATGGCTGAAGGTTCCCAATGAGCACTTCAGCACTGCCTGGACAAGGGACAAGCTTCAAAAGCATGTCTCAGAGCGTTCTTGTTTGCTTTCGCGCCACCATGATTTTTGCTAAATTAGTTCACCTTTATGAGGAAAGGCCCTCACCCGCATACCCAATTTGTGGGAAGGGCCTCTGCACGCTCAAATCCTGCAATCTTTCGCTCTTCACCGAACATACTGACTCTCTGTGGGTACAACCAGGGACACCAAGCAATGAGAGATATGGTGGATGACTTGAACATGATCACCCAACTTCAACGAGAATCCGTCGATTTCTGTGAAGAACTGCGGGGTTGCTGGTATGGTCCACCTCAACCGAAGTGGTGCGAGCATTCCCGTGCCAAAACTTTTTAGAACTTCTGGGTTTTTGGACCGAGTTCAAAGGCCGTCGCAGATGCATGCTGCACGTCGCAGGCCACTGCCTGCAGCTTTTGGCTCTCACAAAAGGCCGTCGCAGATGCATGCTGCACGTCGCAGGCCATTGCCTGCAGCTTTTGGCTCTCATATTCTTCGAGCGGGAGATCCTTTTCAATCTCTCAATCAATCAGCACTTGCAGAAAGAACTGCAGTTTTGCTGCTCAGCACCACAGAACAGTTAGATTTGGCGGGTTCCTGGTCCATTGTTAGCACCCGATGGTCCATGGTCGGTTAAAAGAAGTTGGTGCTAAGGCCATTTGTTCCTCAGCAGCCAGTTTTGATCACTTTTGTCCCGGTTTGCCAAAAGGATCAGCGGATGAGCACAGCTGCTGCTGATTCCTGGCCTAACCTTTTTTAAAGCATGTTCTTCCGGCGGTGGACTGCCGGCTTGCTCCAGAGGGACAAAAGACAACACGTACGAAGCGGAGGGAGCGGAGCAGGCCCATTTGGCAAGAAGGGGTGAAGAGCATTTTCTGGAAGATGCCAACTCAACAGCTATCATCGGTCGAGGTCCTATGATCTCGCTCTCTGCTGATTTGAACTCAAGCATTTGTGCTGCCCTCATTCACCTAGACACACGCCAAGCTGCTCAATTATGGAGCAAGGTGGGGTGTGGGGCAACAGGGATTTTGCGTGGAAAGGCTTTTGCAAGCAGGAGTCTAATTGTTTCTAATCAGCGTTCAACACTCATGCCCCATGTCCTTCAGATTGCTCGTGCATGAGGCTGGCCGAAGCCTTTTGCCAAGAGGCCAGTGAGGGAAGGAATGCAGCGCAGCTGATTTTGGTGGACTGAGCACAGGTGGCCGGTGCTTCCGCCTGTGGCGAAGTGCACGAAGGAACGCAGCGCGCACGGCGGGCCCGCGCTGCGGCCACGGAAGGCCCGCAGTTCGAGGGAGGCAACATGAGAAGAATGCACTTCCAAGAATGCGTTTCAAGTCTCATGGTGTGCGAGTGCTTGGGCCACGCACAGGTTTTGCTTTCTGGGGCACAACATTTTGGAACAATTCGTTGCATGTCTTGTTCACCACAACATTTTGCATCCAAGAGATCACTTTCACACTCACTCGTTTCTTGCTGGTTCTAACCCATGTTTGCTCCCAGTTTCACTTTTCGAGGCGATCGAAGCCGCAGTCCTGGCAGTTGGCCCTGGTCCGTCTGGCAGTTGGTCGCTCACGGCGCCGGCGAGGTCAGTGTCACTGGCGGACGAGGTCAATGCAGCCAGACATCGAGCTACCCAAACTCTTGTTGCACAAACGTGCGTTGTATCATGTTGTATCCTCGAAAGATGGTGGAATTTTCTGCACACGGGTTTGGGTGGGATTTTCCCACATTAGCTCCCTCTTTCGTTTTTGTCAGAAATGTGCAGAGTCAGTCGCTCAGAATTTGCAGGCATCGCTTGCAATTCGCACGCATTGCTTGTACCCAGCAGATGTTTTCGAGCCATGTTGAATCTCGGCTAGCACGTATTGCTGGCGTTCCACGCAGAGTGCAGAGTGTGGCAAACCCAGAGAAGGACTTGCCGGACCTTCTGCTCGTGAGGCGGCTCTCAAAAGACCTGCAATTCAAACCCATCCTTGTTGTAGACATCCCCAAGCCGGTGGCATTCGCGACGAGGCATTGTTTGAGTTGATGACATTTTTCTATACCATCATCATGACATGGTGTTACTGGCCGCGAGACTCTGTTTTGGATGTGGTTCGATCGCGCCGGGGCTCGAGCAGCACCACCTGATCATAGGTCGAGTCTAGTTTTCAGCGACGGGTCAACCCGGTCAACCATGCACAGCCTTGTTGTGACATGGACTTGTCAGAGAAAGAATTCATGCAACCGACTGCAAGAGTGAGTGCCGTGCCCATTTTCAAAGAGAGGCTGGTCCCCTGCCAATGCGCTGCGCACTTGTGCCACATGATGCATGGCCAAGCACACCTCCAGAAAGGCTAGCTTCCCTTCTCCAGTGCTTGACTCATCTTGATTGTCAAGTTCAACTATTATAAATGATAACTGGTGGCTGAAGCTTGCGGAGTCTGACACGTGGAACGGGGCACCAAAGGGCGCCAATGCACATATTTTTAGGGTCTTGGTTGAATGTGAACACTGACTGGAATCGATCCTCCGCTGGAATCGATCGCAGGCGTGTTCAGAGCACAGCTCCATCCAGGAAGACTCGCGTGTGTGGCAACTGCCGTGCCCCGGAAGAAAGTGGGATCGAGGTTGCCTCTTTGTGAATTAATATGAATTGAACTTGGTGAAGTATTGAACCCTTAACCTTGGAAAGAACGAAAGCAAGCATGTCGTTTTGACGCATATGAAGTAACTTCACGGAGATTTCTCCATGGCCCCTGGCTTCCCTCAGGTCCTCACTGGTGGGTCTTCACCGGCCTTGCTTGTTGGAAGCGGAGTCGGGTGCGCTCGGCTCGACTCCGCAGGACATGATTCGGATGTTCGGAGACGGTGACTACGTTCGTCCACCAGACTGCATCATGTCTTCGTGCCGTTTTGGCTAAAGATGCTGCACAGAAGTAGTCTCAGCTGCAGGAGCGTCTCTGATTTTGAAGGCTTCCCCCATTCCTTGGACTATGGCCTCTACTTCTTTGGTGCTGGAAACGTGTGTGAGAAGTACCGACCGGGTGAGCCGAACGCGTACTTTCTGGACGACCGCGATGTGTTGATCTACGTCCATGGCTGGGAGGCCGGATCCGGAGGCCGCTGGCACCGTGGGGACAATCCAAGAGAGGTTGTTGGTGACCTAAAGCAGGACCCACCTCCAGGTACCCAAATGGGATAGTCTACAAGTTATACTGTATAACTTTTTTTCAACTGTCGGCCTAGAATCGGCTGTTTGGCATACCCTCCACATGACTGGCATTCGCAGTGGATTGATCTGAGAACTCAGAGTTCGAACGGTTCTTTCCGCAAACCGACAGACAGGTGGATCGTCTCCGGCAGAAGTATCGTGAGACCTTCCACTGGAAAAGCAACGAGCCGCGCTTCGGCCTCGACTTTGACCTGGCTCTGCCGTGGCTTACACGTCGGTGGAATGTGGGCATTTTTTATTGGGCCACGTGGCAGAATGTAAAGGCCTAAGGAATGCCGAAAAATTCAAGAGGTTCCAACAACTCCAAAGTTTCATCTTCACGTTCAACGAGTCGAATGCATGGAAACGCAGATGTGAAGGACTGGATGCAACAGCTGGCCTTTTTTGTTCTAGTTACGATGGGGCCCAAGAGATAGTGGTAAAGGTACGTGATCGCAGCGTTCCAGGATCATATCAGCCAGGGAATGCAGCCCTCTTCGTTGGACAACCAACCGCCCATGGAATTGTGCCCTGCTGAACTCCAACATCAAAAGTCAAATGAACCTTACCAGAACAATCCAGAACATCCGAAGAAAACCTATGACTCCTATGTGCCAGAAGTGCTCAGGACATGTTCTCGGATGAGGATTGGCTGCCTGACGCTGAAGCCAAGATTTGGACTGCTGAGGGGCCCAGGTGCGCCACATGGGGTGGAGCCGAAAGAAGCGGTGCAACGTCTAACGTCTAACGTCCGGGTTCGAAGAAATGACCATCCGTAAGCTACAAGAAGACATCAACCAAGCGTGGAATGGTGAGGTTTTGGAGCTGCACAGGGCTGCAAGTCGGAGTGGTGCCACTCGAAATGCTTTGCTTGGTGATTTAGGCGTTGGACTTTCCCAAGGCGTGGACACCAAATCACTCGTCGTTTCCAAGATCCTAGGGATCCTTAGACCCAGTTCTGATCGATAAATCGATTGCAGCTGCAAGCTGCCACCTGCGATGCGTCGCCCTCAGGGGGCTCCCAAGGTCGTCGATGCCGCTTGGAGCCCCGTTGGAGCGGGAAATCCATCGGTGCATGATCCATCGGACATGTTCAGATCGAGTATGCATAGCGTACACAGAAAAGGTCCCTCAAGTGGAAGTGGATGGAAGTGGAGTTCACCACCTGTTTAGAGAAAACTGGTGATCCCTTCGTATACCGGACATCTGGAGATTTGATTCAACCGGATCGTTTTCTTGAGGCGCATGCGCTATCGCACAGCCTCGGGCGATTTCAAGGTGCGATGAAAAAGAGTGTCGAAGATTGGATTCCTCAACTGAAATTGTATGTGAAAGTTCTGATAAGTACTGTAACAAGAAGCTACCAGTAGCAAAGGGCATCGCTACTAGGAGCAAGGACGCTACTAGTAGCTCCTGGCGTTACTACTAGTAACGAGAAGCTACTAGTAGCGATGCAGGAGATTCCTAGTTTTGCACCACACTGTTTCGTCCTTAGGCACCATCTCAGGAATCCTGGGATTCTTTTTCACTGCTTGCTTAGTTGACAAAGATCGGATGAAACGAACCCTGAAAATGGCGACCTCTACGGGATTGGATGGAACTTCAACAGTTCTAAGTACCTACGCAGAGACTACCTCACTGTGGATATAGAGTTGGTAGGACAAAGATCTGAGAAGTCTCAGAAGAGATCTAGGATGGGAGCCCGTGCCTCCCTTTGGGATGCTCAATCAATGTCGAATCAATGCCGATGGGCCATGGGGATAATCCATTCCAAGACTGACGGTGGGTGCCGTCTTCAGTTCACCTGTCGGCCTCACCAAGGCCTCCTCGATCTCGCAGAGCTGTGCTGATCTTTTGGCTTCGCAGCTGCAGCAGCTGCCGCTGAAATCGTCGAGAAAGCTGCGCTTGGCAGGGCACTCTTTGGGGTGCACAGCCAGCAGTTGTTGGTGGGGTGATTGCGGGTGCTTTTGACATGGAGAACATGCAACGGCGATGAGAAACTCTGCCTTCAAGAGGTCTCACGGTCTCAATGCTGTCCCATAACTTTGCATGCTCATTGTTTGATGACAGTTCGCACGTCTTGCTACCACGAACTGCAGTTGATCTACCTTACAGGCCGATCCTCTTCACAAAGGAGTGCCCAAGAAGCCCATGAAATATAGATCTGCCTCAACTTCTCAACCTCCCAAACACCGATTTTTGACACTGGCCCAAGACACTCTCCAACTGCGACCCGGGATTGCACACCGTGACTCCAAGTAGTTCAGCCGATCCAGCGCCAGCGGTGATCGTTTTTCGTGCGTTCCAGGTCTCCCTTAGTCATCGCCGCGGCAGCCCAAGCCTTTGCCGCGGGGTCCGCCGCGGGGTCCCTGCGCGCCATGGTCGGAAGTAGAAGGAAGTGATGCTTTCTGTTTTTTTCATCATGTGGGGCCACCGGTCCCAATGGACAGTGAAAAGGCAGGCGGTTTTCTGCACAGTTGGCACAGATACGCATGTTCTGGGTGGCTGCAAGCAACTTGAAGTTCATCAAGTTGCCCAGGTGAAGAGGTTGACCATTGCAGAAGATCATGAGATACACATGCAGACATCATTGGCATGCGCATGATGTCACCCCCTTGGTACTGTAGAGCTTTTCGTTCACAACATCCAGACTTTGGACGAACATCTGGCCAGGCCAAGCCAGTTGATGGCATATGTCTTTACTTACGACTGATCACCCTCAAGCAACTTCGCCGGAGACCGGGAGACCCCGTCGTGGTGCGCCGAGGAATCGCCTTGTTGGATCCCTACTGGTCCCGGCGAGTGCCTTTGGTGAATCCTCAGAGCTACATGCGAAGACCAGCGACTCCCGGCGAAGGCATTTTCGTGAGTTCGCCTCCCCCGCAAGTTCGGACCAGGCGAGCCTAGCAATCGGAAGAAAGGAAGTTTGGTGTTCCCCTATTAATCATAGCTTTGTTAGGTCTTGCTGTAGGAAGTGCATTGGGAATGCTGATGCAATGAATTGCACTCAGAAGCATTCGCTGTAGTGTTTCAAGCTCTTATCCACACCAAGAAGAGCTAGGATTACACACAGAGCAGCCTTTTCCCGGCGAAAAAGGCACTGTTTTTGGATGATCCGAGTCCGAGACGTGTTTGAGGACGAGGACGACGGCGCAAGAGAGTTTGGACCTGGCCATGCTTCTGGCTGAGCAGGATGTACCGTCACTTGGTGTCCAGAACTGGACCTGGCACGGGACACCTGCGTCCGTTGGCGGAAAGAGGGAGATCGGCCTCATGGGGTGACCCCACAGCTGAGAAAAGGAGGTCAATTGAATATTTGCAACCTGAATTGGCTGGCACCCTGGTGCATCCAGGCTTTGATGTGGCGGCTTGAGCTCCAAACCTGAATTTCGACCACAGAATCACACAAGGGGCATTTGGACTTGGACCACCCATTTTTCTTTTTGTCTTCTCTCAGCTTTGGAAGGTTGTGTGGCCACCAACATGGTGGTCGAAATCTCGCAGTGTTCCTCACTGGAACTGGATCAGGAACTGGAACTC